GTAACTTTCACATACAAAAGCAAAGTTTTGTTGTTAAATGTAATAAAAAAGAATTCAGATTCTCATGTTGTCATACTGTTGAAATTCTCATCTTGTCAAACTGTTGAAATACTCATGTTGTCAAACTGTTGAAATACTCATGTTGTCAAACTGTTGAAATTCTCATGTTGTCAAACTGTTGAAATTCATATGTTGTCAAACTGTTAAAATACTCATGTTGTCAAAATGTTGAAATTCTCATGTTGTCAAACCGTTGAAATTATGTTGTTAAACCGTTGAATTTCTAGTGTTTTCAAACTGTTAAGTTGTCGAAGTATCAATTCTCATCGTCACATTCTTTTCTCTATACACTAATTAACTGTTTCTCGCTGCAGTCTGAATCAGCGTTGATTATCAAGCCATATCTTGCACTGCTTACACCATCCGAGATACACGTCGTGATGTCGTCTGGCTTCGCAACGGTATCTGGCAAGTCTTTACCTTTCATTTAAATTTAAAACAATACGATATTCAAAATACAAATATAAAAGATTGAAATTCGATCAGCTCTATATTTTGGAGCAATAGTCAGTGGTTATTTCCTTAAAACAGTGATTCCTAAAAAGACTCAAGTCTGTAGAAAGCCAGGTGATAAAATTGTGGGTCTACAACACTACTGCTGACCCTCTGGAGGGAAGAGCATAGGATTTTGAAATATTTCTATTCGTGTTTATTTCTTTTCTCTTTTATTTAGTTTTATCTTGTATGTGTGTCCGCAGGCACGATCCTGGCGGCGTACATCGCGTTCGGCGCGGAGCCGGCGCACCTGGTGACGGCCAGCGTGATGTCGGCGCCCGCCGCGCTCTGCTACGCCAAGCTGCTGCTGCCGGAGACGCGCCGCTCGCGCACCGCCGTGCACAACCTGCAGCCGGTGCACATGTAACGACCCTTCAATACAACTAATTGTCTTTTATGTGGGAGTGGATTTCAGTTACAATGTCGTTCTTTACAAGTTAAATCGCATTATAACTATGGAGTAGAAAATAGAGGAGTGGAAAGAAAGAAGATATCCAGAAGTAAATGTAAGAAATAATGTATCAGATAGTTTAATAGTATATGAGCTTATATGGAGGATTTTTATAATTTTTTATAATATAAACCCTTAATAAAGAGGGTATTTCCTTTTTCTATGCGTTTCCTTCACCATTAAATCCATCTTCCCTTCCCATTCTTTCCTTACAAGAAAAGGATGGTAAGAAAAAGTGAGTTTTATTAAGCCTCCGGCACCACATGCATCAGACGAAACGCGGAATTGGTTCCACTTCACGCCTGTTTTCTGTGTGGTATTAAACCAAGAC